TTTCCTGTTAAATCATGAGCTGGGCACGGTGCTGCACATCTGTAATCCCAGCACTCAGGGAGGCAGGGGCAGGTGGACCTTGGTGAGTTTGAGGACAGCCTGGTCTACAAAGTGAGTCTAGGAAAGCCAAAGCTGCACAGAGAAACCCTGTCTCGAAAAACGTAATCATAATCATGTATTATGACTATTCCTATCATGTCAGTACTTATACCTATGTGTCAGTAATGATAACTTTTACTTGTATATATATTTAATTTTTATATTTTATTTAATCAGTCTTATAGGTGGTAATTTAAGTTTTCTTTGAGTTTTTATTTTTATTTTTTTAATATTAATTACAGTTTTTTTACTTTTTATCCCAGCTGTAGACCCTTCCCTCATTCCCTCCCAATCATACCCTCCCTCCCTCATCTCCTTCCTGCCCCTCTCTAAGTCCACTGATAGGGAAGTTCCTCCTCCGCTTCCATTTGACCTTAGCTTATCAGGTCTCACCAGGACTGGCTGCAATATCCTCCTCTGTGGCCTAGCAAGGCTGTTCCTATCTCTGGGGGGCGAGGCGGGGAGAGGGGGGAGAGGGGTCAAAGAGCCAGCCAGTGAGTTCGTATCAGAGACAGTTGAGTTTTTTTTTTTTTAATTGTGAACACAACTTCGATAAATATCTTACTATTAGTACACAGATCTTTGGATAGTAGTTCAGTGCTGCCTTTTGTATAAATTCTTAGACGTAAGATTGAGAAAGCACATATTCTATGAATATTAAAGCAAAAGTTTCTAAAAAACTCATAATTTGAGGGCTGAAGAGATGGCACACTGGATAAGAGCAGTTGCTACTCTTCCAGAGGACCTGGGTTTCGTTCCCAGTATCCATGTGGAGGCTTACAATAGTCTGTAATTTCATTCTCAGGAAGATACAGCTCCCACTTTTGGCCTTTCTGGGCAATGCATGTACACAGTGCTCAGGCAAAACACATAAGATAATATGAAAAAAATGAGTAAAACATTTATAATTTGTTTATAACATGTAGAATGTGCTGTAGGAGTTTATTTTTTAGTGCTTATTTTTATCATACACATTTACTCTAGATTATTATTTAGCTTCAGACATAGAAGTGGTATCTATTAGATTGTTAGATCATTGAATAGTGTAGACCACATAAGAAAGGGAGAGGTGGGAAGACAGGTCAGTCAGTATAGTGCTTGCCATGCAAGTATGAGAACTCGAGTTCCATAGCCACTCTTCACATAAAAAGCAGACATGTGCTTGTGATTCCAGCTATGGAAAAGCAGAGATGGGTGAATCCCTAGGGTTCACTGGCCAGCCAGGAGAGCCTGATTGAGAAATCCAAGGTCCTAGTGTGGGAATCTTTCTCAAAAACAAAGTGGCTGACCACTGAGGAACAATGCCTAAGGCTGACCTCTGGTCTTCACAGGCATGTGAATAAACATATACAAACACCTACCTAATCACACAAACATGTACAAACACATAAACAGACACATGAAGGAAAGAAGGGAGGAGAAAAGGGGTGGAAGGTGGGGAGGAGAAGTGAACAACAGAGGGAGGAAGAGAAGAGATCACTTTATACTTGAAGTTCACTTTGGTTGGCTGATGTTAGACATTTCCTATAATTATTGAAAGAAAATTTGAGGTAGAAATTCCAAATACCGTTTTATATTTCTCTGTAATTAACACTATCAGGTTTAGTGGGTAATATGTTTATTTGTTAAATAACTAAAATAATGCTTCATTAGAGTCAGGTGTGGGTGGCTTCATCCCAGCACTCATGAGGTCTACAAACTTAATTCCAGGTTAGCCAAGGGTACATATTGAGACCCTGTCTCAAGAAATAAAAGTAAATAAATTCTTCGTTGGAAGTATAATATGTTGAATTGACGGAACTGTTTTGTCCATTAGTCATTGTAGAATTCTGTTCACTGCTTGCTCATGAAACAAAATTTTGGTTTTTGTTAGATTGAATAAAAAACATGAAACAAGATAAAAATAAAGGAGAAAATGGTGGGGAAAATGACAAATTATAAAAAAAATTGGGTTTTAGAAACAAGATTCTGACTCTCAAATTAACTGTGGCTTCTTTTCCTTTTCTTTCTTATTTTTTTTAAGATTTATTTATTTATTATTTATAGAGAATTCTACCTGCATGTGTACCTGCACACCAGATCTCATTATAAATGGTTGTGAGCCACCATGTGGTTGCTGGGAATTGAACTCAGGATGTTAGGAAGAGCAGCCAGTGTTCTTAACCTCTGAGCCATCTCTCCAGCGCCCCTTCTTTTCCTTTTTTTTCTTTTAAATTTTATTTGTTGTCTTTGAGGCAGGGTTTCTCTGTGTAGCCCTGGCTGTTCTGGAACTAGCTCTGTAGACCAGGTTGCCCTCGAACTCAAAGGATCTGCCTGCCTCTACTGGGATTAAAGATGTGCAGCACCACACCCTGTTTAATTGTGACTTAGTGACTTTTTACTGTAGGTTCAGTTGTAACAAGGGTGCAGGATGTTAACTTTCCAATGTAGACTTAGGATTTATAGGCAATGAAGTTACTAAAAGAGAGAGAACTGACTCTGGATTCAATGTTTAGGCTCCTTCAACTTCAGTTTCCCTATTTGTGCAAATAGGATAAAAAGTAATAATAAAAAGGAAATGATTTTTCTCTCTTCCTATTCTTTAATACATTTTATCATAGAGAATTTAGGATGTATATAAATAGGCAGAATTGTATTATAAACTCCCATGTACCTAGCACCCAAACCCATACAAACTTCAACCCGTGTTTAATTATATCTCTTCTAATTTTCCTCTCTTTTTTTTTTTATGCTTTTTTTTTTTTTTAACTCAGCATTGAGGAGATGGCTCAGCAGGTAGAAGTTCTTTTGTTTTGTTTTGTGTTTTCAAGACAGGGTTTCTCTGTGTATCCCTGGCTGTCCTGGAACTAGCTTCTATAGACCAGGCTGGCCTCGAACTCAAGAGATCCACCTGCCTCTGCCACCTGAGTGCTGCATGTACCACTATGCCCAGCTGCCTCCATCTATTTTAAAAAATTACATTTATTTATTTTACATACCAAAAAATAAACAAACATTATTCAGTGTGTATGAAACTACATTAATAGACTGCCTGAGTCATTTGTTTCAAATTTGCAGCCATTTTTTAACTTAAAAATGTTTTTAAGAACTTTATATAACAGTATTGTATTTATAGAATTTTCACTCTCTTCCCCTGTTGTAGCTTAAAAACAAATAAACAACAAACAATCTCTTCTGAGAACATTATCTTTTTATTCTACAAGAAAGTCTATCCTATAAGTAAATACAACTATAAAAATTCTAGATTATGCCATATTTCTGACTCTGCCATTTATCTAAACTTTGACTTTCACCGAATATTTTTATTTCTAAATCTTTCCTGCTCTATCAAATGGGAATAATTGGCCTGCCTTTTTATATTTTCATAGATATGTACTTAAAAATATCAATGAAATTATTTAAAAAATCACAGGTAGGCTAGTGAGATAGCTCAGTGAAGGTACGTGTTACCAAGCCTGATGACCTGAGTTCAATCCCCAGGACCCCACATGGTAGAAGGAGAGAACTGACTCCCACATGTTGTTCTCTGACCTCCACAAATATTCTATGATAGGCACATAAGTAAATAAATAGATAAATACTAAAAGACTAAAATTGTATGCTATTATGATACAAAAACATATTCAATCAAAATATAAAAAGAAAAGAAATGTAATTACAACTATATATAATGGTAGATACCTTAATACCAGTATTCAAGAAGCATTACAGATATGTATCACCACCCTCAGCTAGACTCTGTTTTTCACCTGTGATAAAATACATATACCATTAAATTTATCATCTGTACACTTAAATGTATAGTTCACTAAAGTACATTCACTGTTGTGCAAATAGACACTAGAATTGTTTCCATCTTGGAAAACTGAAACTAACAACACAGCCCCTAACAACATTCCTTCCTGTCCTGTTTGCTTGTTTGTTTGTTTGTGAGACATGGTTTCTTTGTGTAGTACAGACTGTCCTGGAACTCACTCTAAAAGTACGGTCTAGAACCAGGCTGGCCTCAGACTCAGGGATCTGCCTGCCTCTGCCTCCTGGGTGCTAAGATTAAAGTCGTGTGTACCATCTCTCTTCTTCTGGTCTTCAAAACATGACAAAAGACCATTTACTTCCTTGTTTTGTGTCAGGGGAGGATAAATGCATGCTACCCATTAGAGGCAATGTGTGTGAGTTGTTGCCTGCATGTATGTATGCGCACCATGTGCATGGCTAGTGCCCAAAGGAGGTCAAGGTGTCAGATCCCCAGGTACTGGAAATTATAGATGATTATGAACATCATGTGGGTACTGGGAACCAAACCTGGGTTTGCTACCAGAGGAACAAGTGTTCTTAGTCACTGAGCCATCTCTCCAGTCCCTCCACCTTACTTTCTGAGAAACTTTTTCACTGAATCTGAAGCTCAAGGTTTCAGCTAGACTGCCTGCACACAAGTCCCTGGGAACCACCTCTCTCTGCCTTCAGTGCTGGGATTTATAAGCACACCTAGCTTTTACATAGGTTTTTTTCCCCAAACCCAAACTCAGGTCTTCATGCTTAGACAGTAGACAATTCAACCACTGAGCTATCTCTCTGACCTTCATTTTACTTTTTATATTAAGTTTTGTTCTTCATTTTCTTTTTTATTTATTTTACTATTAGTCCCATCCTCCCTGGATCTTATATGTACTTGCTTACTTCAGTTTGCATAATTGCTCTTCTGTCCCTCCCAGAGGATAGTTGTTTGTTTTTAATGAAGAGAATAGAATGAGATGAAATTGAAATGCTAGGAATAATGTTATTTTTTTAGAACTAAGTTTTAACATTTATTAGCTGTACCTACAGTTCTAACTTACTCTAGTTGAGATTATGTAAATATGGACTTTAACTATGTGATACTTTTTTTTTAATCTCCCTGACAGGACCCATTGGGGCCCAGCCCCTGCTCATAGTGCCCAGAAGACCTGGATATGGTACTATGGGCAAACCCATTAAACTGTTGGCTAACTGTTTTCAAGTGGAAATTCCAAAGATTGATGTCTACCTCTATGAGGTAGATATTAAACCAGACAAGTGTCCTAGGAGAGTCAACAGGTAAGAATCATGAAGTTTAGCTGTCATTTTCTGTTTGTATTTGCCTTAGTAAATTATTTATGAGTATTTTATATATTTGAATAACAATAATACATAACACTTTGACCAGGAAAACATGACAATTTTGAAATTTGTACTTCAGCAGTGAATGATAAGAAAAATCTTCAAACGTCCTTCAGATTATCTCAATATTTATGAGCTTACATGTTATTCATGTGGCAATAGAAAAGATACAAGGCACATTTACATGTTGTTTGAAATCTGGCGAGCATTCTGAGCACGTCTTTTGTATTGCTGTTAGGTAATTTATTGTTTGTGTATATTTTCTTCCCCAGCTCATTTTACCATTTTCATAATGCTTCCTTTAAAATGATGGTGGTATTCATATACTCCCATTTTTAAATTTTAAAAAATAAGTAAACAGGGGCTGGAGAGATGGCTCAGAGGTTAAGAGCACTGTCTGCTCTTCCAGAGGTCCTGAGTTCAATTCTCAGCAACCACAAGGTGGCTCACAACCATCTGTAATGAGATTTGGTGTCCTCTTCTGGCTTGCAGGTGTTACATGCAGAAAGAACACTGTATACATAGTAAATAAATAAATCTTTAAAAAAAAAATAAGTAAACAAAAAGTAAAAGAAACTTGTAATTTAATAGTGTTAACAAGACATGTAAAAATATGAATGTTGGATCAATTTTTCTTGACTTAACCTACTAGTTACTAAGATTCCTGAATAACTGAAAGTGAATGAGACTGAGACATTATTTGATGTTAAAACAATAACTGTGAGTGTTTTCGTTAAGGTGTTACAGAGTTCTTTTGAGGGTAGGAAAGGTTTTGGGGTGTAATGTTGGAAATAACCTCTTAAGAGGTCAGTTAATCCAATACAAATGAAATCCAGGGAAGTTAAATGACTTAAGAATACACTTTAGCAGGAAAGATGAAACTAGAACTCCAGAAGCCTGACTTGGAAAAGAAAGAATTTAGTTGATCTAAAACATTAGATCCTGTTTGTCCATCTATCCAAATTGTGTTTGTGTGTATGCTTATAGGACAGTTGGGCATGGTGGCACACATCTTTAATCCCAGCACTTAGAAGGCAGAAGCAGGAGGATCTTTGTGAATTCAAGACCAGCCTGGTCTACATAGTGAGTTCCAGGACAGTCAGAGCTATGTAGAGAGATCCTTTCTCAAACAACAAAAAACCACTATGAAAGTAAATGAGATGAATTCAATAGTAGGTAGAAAAGAACAGATATTGTAGGGTATGATTGTTAATCTTCCTTATCATCTTGACTGGATTTGGAATCACCCAGGAAGCACTTTACTTGTGATATGGGTATATTTATAAAGGTTTAACTGAGCATGGAGGACCTACCCAAAATATGGGTGGTACCATCCCAAGGACTGTGGGTCCAAAGTCAATGCAAAGGGAAAAAGGAGGAAGCCAGCTGAGAAGCAACATTAGTTTCCTGAGTTTCCTGACTATGGACATAGTATGGCTGTTTCATGTTCCTACCACCAAGACTCTTTTGTTGCAACCTTTTATCTGTGAGCTGAAATAAACCCTTCTTAAATTACTTTGTCAGATATTTGTAACAAGAAAAATAATACAGAAAAATAGTACTAAGTAGATTTGTTGCTGGGATAAAAATGTAATTGGGGAGAGAGGAGGGAGAAGGCTCAGTGGGTAAAAGTGCCTGTCACCAAGCTTGATTGCTGACAACTTGAGTTTGAGCCCTAGGACCCATATGGTAGTAGGAGAGAACAGACTCACATATTTTCCTCTGATCTCCACATGTGTACCATGGCATGCTTCCCCACATATACAAAATTAATAAAATAAAATGTAATTAGACCTCTGGAATGGTGGAAGAAGGATGCTCCCAAGCCTCAGGTGTTGGAAATGGTATACAGGGTTTGTTGTTTGGCCTACTGGGTTTTGGTCTCTTTAGTCTAGTCTCCTAATCCTCTCTTTTGGACTGGGGATGTTTACTTTGTGCTGTTGTGTAGTGTATACCATACATTGGAAGATCTGGACTAGAGAAGCTCTAGAATGTTGTCAGCAGAACTTATGGGTCATTCTGAAGGGACTTTGGAAGACCAGAATGCATATAGCAGAGGCCTAGCTTATGAGAATTCTGGAAGTCACTCAACTCAGAAATAGGCTAGCTAGCTCATCTGTGTCATATTCTGGCAAAAAAAAAAAAGAAAGAGAGAGAGAGAGAGAGAGAGAGAGAGAGAGAGAGAGAGAAAGAAAGAAAGAAAGAAAGAAAGAAAGAAAGAAAGAAAGAAAGAAAGAAAGAAAGAAAAAGTCTGGCCACATTTTGCTTTGTGTTCTGAAAATCTGAGTGAGAATGAATTAAAAAGCAATGGACTATATTGTTTGATAAAGAATTTCAAGACAGAGTAACAACATCCTGGCATTACAGACATGGCCCATCATATTTCGTTTTTCAATATTGTCAAACACCAGCTTCAACAGGTCAGGGTACACTGAGGCATGGAGTTGGTGTCAGGGCTAGTACTCTGTAACTGGAGAAAGACTGAATTCTTTAAACTCTTTGAACTCTTCAGGAGCCTGAATTCTTTAACTTTTTTAACTCTTTGGGGGCTGGCGAGAAAGAAAAGGGAGAAAGAATCACACACATGCTTGGTGGATGAAGTAAGACAAGCTCCAACAACCTTTATTTTTTCTCTGTTTTTTTTTATACTCTCTAACGCAAAGTTCTCTATGTAAGAAGAAAAATTACCTCATAGCCTCATAAAAATAATTATCACAAAACACATAAATTTGTTAGACAAGAGGGAGTTACAGCAGGATTATTGATTACATGTTTTTCTATTAAAACTCGTACCTCACTAAACATTCTTTATCTCAAGTTCATTATAAGTCAAAGCAATAGTTTTATCTATCTTTTATTCCAAAAGCTCAATTATAAGTTCAAAGAAATAGTTTTTATGAAATAGGTTAACAAAGATTACCAAGAAACAGGTCATCTATCTTATGTCTTATTTTTAAGTCTTTTATAGTTAAACTAGCTAATCATCCATTCTTTGTTCTTATGCTCATAATAGAATTATCCACTCCTTGTTCATGGCTTTTCTTTTTTTCCCCCTTTTTTAATTATTATCATTTATTGAATTTGTATCCTGGCTGTGGCCCCCTCCCTTCTCTCCTCCTGATTGCACCCTCTCTCCCTTTTCTCCCCCTATGCCCCTCCCTTAGTCCACTGATGGGGGGGGTCCTCTCCTCCCCTTCTATCTGACCGTAGCCTATCAGGTCTCATCAGAACTGGTTTTATTGTCTTCCTCTGTGGCCTGGCAAGACTGCACCCCCCCCAGGGGGAGGTGATTAGAGAGCCTGCCACTGAGTCCATGCCAGGGAAAGTCCCTGTTTCCCTTAGTAGGGACCCCACTTGCAGACTGAGTCTACAGGCTACATCTGAGCTGGGGTTTTAGGTCCTCTCCATCCATACTCACTCATAAGTGGTAATTAGATATATAATACTGGCTAAACATACTAAAATCTATCCTCCTAAAGAAGCTAAACAACAAGGAAGACCCTAGGGAAGATACTCAGTCCTCATTCAGAAGGGCAAATGTGATAGACTTCGGAAGCAGGAGAAGACAGGGAACAAGACAGGAACCTACTACAGAGGGCCTCTGAAAGACTCTACTGATATCGAAGACTCTACTGAGGTATCAAAGCAGAGACTGAGACTCATAGCCAAACTTTGGGCAGGCTGCATGGAATTTTATGAAAGAAGAGGGAAAGAGAAAGACCTGGAGGGGACAGGAGCTTCAAAAGGAAACCAACAAAACCAAAAAAAAAAAAAAAAAAAAAAAAGAAGAAGAAAAGAAAAAACTGAGCTTTGGGGGCCCTGAAGAGAATGATACCCCAACCAAGGACAATGGATGTTTGCGGCTTTTCTTATCATGGTGCACACTGAGACTTATGACCTTATTCCTGGACCTAACCTAGAATGAATGTTTTCCTTGATCATTAACTTGTCCCAACCCTATTTTTCTTCCTAGTGTGATTTGCGTGCTTGTAACGCATAAAAGCTCACTGAACGCATTTTACAGTCTTTACTATTCTACAAGGAAGAAGTCCATTTTACATTTAATTCTATAAACTATCTGAGCCATTTCTCCAGTCCTGCAATGAACATCCTTTTTTTTTTTTTTTTTTTTTTTCCCCGAGACAGGGTTTTTCTGTGTAGCTTTGGCTGTCCTGGACTCACTTTGTAGATCAGGCTGGCTTTGAACTCACAGAGATTTGCCTGCCTCTGCCTCTCAGAGTGCTGGGATTACAGGCCTATGCCATTGTGCCTGGTTAGAATTTGGGTTTTTAAATTCTTTAAACTTTTTAAAATTACCTGAATCAAATCAGGAATTGTATAAAATCATTATCAGCAATTATAAAATCATCAATTCACTTAAACAGCATTTTTTTCATGAAAGTACATCTTCATGTTGATCCACAGGAAATTTGTCCAACAGAGTGGGCTAATACTCAGGAAGCAATCACACCAGACTACAGAAAGTGAGGGTCTCCTCATACCCAGTAACACCATACCAGATATATGAGGAATATAGAAATGATAAACACATCGGCAGCAAGAAGCAAAGGAGACAAAGCCCCTGGAGCCATGCCTTTCCAAGGTACAACCATTGTAGCCATGTAAAACAATGGGGCGTCTCCAGGAAGCTTACCTGTCCACTGCAGTTCCTCCTGCATAGCAATGACCACAGTTCCTTCTGAAAATTGCCAAAACACTTAAGGGTCATAGTGCAGCAGTTCTAACTAACTTTTTCAAAATGGATAAAGCTACATCAAATTGTTTCTCATTAATATAAAGATTACATTGCTATCTTCTATAACGTCAGAGTTATCCTCTTTTAAGTAGGTGGGGTTTTCTAATAATTCATGAGTATGAGGTATTTCTTATTCTAATGCCACATATAGAGATATGTGGCACTAAGGCATTAATCATAATACTAGAATAAGTATTGTAGCAAAACAAGTTTCCACTGTAGTCGGAAGAGTTTTCTTGGAGAAATACTCAGAAAATGCTCAGGAGTCATTCTGTGCGTCAGCTTCTCTACAGACTTACTCTCTAGACTTATTTTCTGCTTTTGGGTATATGTGTTGGTCTTGTCTCATTTGTTGTTGTTGTTTTGATTAAAAATGACTTTAGTGGCTGGAGAGATGGCTGGGCAGAGCACTGTCTCCTCAAAACCATCCGTAATTCCAGTCCCAGGGGATCTAACACTCTCTTCTGGTCGATGTGTGTGGTACCAAGCACACACATAATGCACAGACATTCATGCAGGCAAAGCACTTATACACATAAATAAACATTTTACATATATAAAAAAGAAAGCAAATGACCACTTGATAAGACAGCAGGTTCAATAATTTAAAGTGGTATGTATAGTTTTTAAAAAGTAAGTGGTCACAATAACTAAAATTCAAATATTTTAGAAGTATGACCTTAGGTTTGTTCAGCTAAATATACATGGAAATAAACTTGAGTAGACTTGCAAATTTCTTCAAGGTCATTAAATGTTAAAATTAGATATGTGTAGCCTGGTGTGGTGGCACATGCCTGTAATCCTAGCACTCAGGGAGGCAGAGGCAAGTGGATCTCTGTGAGTTGGAGGTGAGCATGGTCTACAAATTGAGTCCAGGAAAGCCAAAGCTACACAGAGAAACTCTGTCTTGAAAAACCATAAATAAACAAGCAAACGAATAAAAGAAAGAGATTAGATCCTTGTTCATTAAATTATAATTTACAGTCTGTGCACCACAGCATGATGGCATCAGAAGACTAAGATGTAGGAAGTAATAGGTGAGGAAAGAATGGGAAGGTATGCTGTAAACCTTTATAAGACTCAGCATGCTAAGGTAAGTTCTATTTTCAGAATTAATTGCAGGATCAGTTCTTAATTTTAAGCTGTAGTTTGAAGTTCTAAAAAGATGAACGAATATTACTTTTTGTAAGAATTCTCCCTTTGCCAGACTAAGTTTATTAGTGAAAGGAAGCTGTTAAATGTTAGATAAAACTTAGCCCTATTTACTTAAATATTCTTTCCAAAATTTTATCTTAAATACTTTTATTAAGTTGAAATGTTGGGCTGATTGGCCTAGCATAGTGGCACCTTTAATCCTTGCACAGAGGCAGAAGAAGGTGGATCTCTGTGAGTTCCAAACAGCCTGGTCTACATAACAAGTTCCAAGTTAGCCAGAGCTATACAGTAAGACCCCATCTTTAAAAAAAAAAATCTGGCAAGATCACTTAGTAGGTAAAAGCACCTGTTGCCAAACCTGATGACCTGAGATCCCCATGGCAATAGGAGAGAAATGATTCCTACAAATTGTCATCTGGCCTCCACATGCATGTCATGGCATATGCACCTATCCATATACATACATAATACATACATACATACATACATTACATACACACAAAATAATATAATTTAAAATTTTCAAGTTAAAATGTTATATATTTTAATATGTAGTTTCACATCTTCTAAAGTTAAGAAATTGTTTTAACACTGTGCAAATGTTCTGCTAAAATATTTACATTTGCACAAAAATATCAAGAGACTATATTCCTACCTTCTCTACTTCCATTGTTATAACAGAAGAAAGATATTTCATAACAATACTATATTAAAACTAAGTTAATAGTTCCCAGTAATTGCTAGAATTCATTCCTTGGTTTTAGAATGTTTGAAAGCTAGGTTATAGAGGGACTTCTTCAAACTCACCAGCAGTATAAATAATGACATGGAGACTTTTTTTTTTTTTTTTTTGGAGACTTTTATATAGTTTAAAACTTAGGCCTTTTTCTGGGGCAGTCTCCCAGCTACTGTTTAAACTTGACCCAACTATTCTAGCCTAATTTAGGAAATCTCAGGTTAAATGCTGTTGTATGAAAAAGGAAAAACAAATAATTATTAAATATATTGAAAACCTCACTTTAAAAATATGCAAACTGCCAGGCAAGGTGGTGCATGCCTGTAATCCCAGCAGAGGCAGATGCAGAGGCAGGCAGATATCTGTGAGTTCCAGGGTAGCCTGGTCTACACAGGTTGTCTGCAGAACTGGGAGACACTCTTCATGGTGTCTTTACAACTTCGACCTACTCCAAACTACAATGCAGCAAGTGTTGTATGAAGCCTCTCCCCCTTCCTCTGACACCTGCTTCCTCCTGGTCCCTTCCTCTTAGCAGAACCATTGACATATAACGCTGAACCTCTTTTGTGTGTCCTCTGCCAGAGCATGGGCTCCCTCAGCCATAAAGCATGTCAGCGCCAGGACTGCACCTCCCTGAGAACTCTGGGTTGGGCTTTTACTGTTCCCAGTGCTGGGGACTAAGCCGGGAGCTGTGCTTGCCGGTCACACACTGCACCGCTGACAGCTGTGCACCCACAGCTCCAGAAGTCTCAGGCCACAGTCCCAGCTCACAAAGACCCAGGGCAGGGAGGTGTGACTCCAGGGCACGTGCTGCTCTTCCGGAGGAGCAGAGTTCAGCTTCCTTCCTTCCCTCCTTCCCTCCTTCCCTCCTTCCCTCCTTCCCTCCTTCCCTCCTTCCCTCCTTC